GAGTTCTCCAGGCAGGACCGGCACTCGGCCGTGTAGGCGTACTTGGAGTCCTTCTTGGCGAAGACGTAGACGGTGTTGGTGGCCATCTTCTCCTGGGCTATCAGCACCTGGGGCGGAGTCAGCGTGAGCCTCTGGGCCGGGTTAGGGTTAGGCTTAGGGTTAGGGTTGGGGGGCGTACCTTCTCGGAGCCGTTGATGATGAAGTAGCCCCCCGGGTCCAGGGGACACTCGTTGAGCTCGCACAGGTCTCGGTCGGTCAGGCCGCTCAGCAGGCAGTAGGTGGAGCGCAGCATGATGGGGATCTTCCCGATGAAGGTCTTCTGGTGCTGCGTCTGCAGCTGGTCCTCGCCCTCCTTTATGATGGTCTTGGTGATGTCCACGTACAGGGGGGCCGAGTACCTGGGGGGGCAGGGCCAGGGCCCGGTCAGACCAGCTGGACGCGTGATTCAGGGTCAGGGTTAGGGGTTGGGTTAGGGTTAGGGGTCGGGGTTAGGGGGACCTATCTGAGGTTAGGGGTAAGGAGTAAGGGTTAGGTGTCTGGGTCAGGGTTAGGGGTCAGGCTGGGACCTACGTGAGGTTAGGGGTTAGGGGTCAGGGTTAGATTCAGGGTCAGGGTTAGGGGTCGGGTTAGGTTCAGGGTCAGGTCGGACTGGGACCTACGTGAGGTTTCTGAGCCGGGCCTCGTTGGGTTAGGGTTATGTTCAGGGTTAGGGTTAGGGGTTTGGTTAGGCTGGGACCTACGTGAGGTTTCTGAGCCGGGCCTCGTTGGGTTAGGGTTAGGGGTTAGGGTTAGGTCGGGCTGGGACCTACGTGAGGTTTCTGAGCCGGGCCTCGTTGGGCATCATGGGGGACGGGGCGCCGTCCCTCTCCCAGTGGGTGGGCTTGGACAGGTAGATCTGCTCAAACTTCAGCAGGTATCGGGGCTGGAACAGACACGGTGACACTCATGCACACAGATACAACCTGAAAGTTAGGCTGGTAACCAACCCAGACCCCCTGAAGCCCCCTGAGATCCTCTGAAATCCTCTGAAACCCCCTGAAGCCCCCTGAGATCCTCTGAAGCCCCCATAATCTCTGAAAGCCTGATTTCCCCTGTAGACCAGTGAATCCCAGCTGCTATTCCTTGTTAATGATTAGCCTGGAGCTAGCATCTCAGCTAAGATGTTCAGACTGATTCAGCCTCTGTGGATCTGGATCAGGTACAATTAGCAAAGTGCTGCGTGCCCTAAAACGTTCCCTGACTACTGGAAGTCATGTTTTAGTGAGTAAAGGCTAGACCCTAACCGGGCCGGCCCCCCGGGTCCGGACTCACCGGCTCCTCCACCTCCCCGGAGGTGTGCTGGGCCTCAGCCTGCAGGTCGATGGGGGGGGCGTCCTCCACGATCCTCTGGACGGACATCTGGATGAACTCATCGAAGGAGTCCAGCTGCTGGCGCACCAGGCCCTTCTCGTCAAAGTAGGAGCTGCAAGCAGGGGCCGGTTTTAGGGTTAACCCCCCCCAGAGGGCCGGGTTAACCCCCAAGCCTGAGGGGGGTTTAGGGGTAAACCCCCCACACCAGGGGTTTATGGGTAAAACCCCCCGCAGCCTAACAGGATCTGATGTGTCTTTTTGAATGGTTAGCTGATTTATTTAGTTGGTTTACGGTGTGCGTCTCTGTAGGGTTAGCTGATTTATATGCTATGTCCTTTATTAATTTAGTTATCCATTTGTTTTGGTACCTGATGACGATCCAGCAGGCCTCCTGCCACAGGTCCGGGGTGATTTCGTCATCGTCCTCGTCGTACTGGTTATCTGTGGGTCAGGGTCAGAGTCAGCCCTCCTCTCAGGTAACACACACACACAATACCGGACCCACGGACCCGCCATCAGCCCCCGCCGAGCACCGGACACACGCCGAGGGCGCGTGCTGTCCGGACCGAGTCAGGGCGCGTGCAGGTGTGTGTGTGCAGGTGTGTGTGTGTGAGCAGGGTCAGGGTAAGGGTTGGGGTCTTTTAAACTAAAAGCTGCCTGCTCTCCGTCGTTAGCCCCGTTAGCGGTGCAGCTAGCGTTAGCAGCGGTGGCTGAACGTTATCCACATTAGACTGATCAACTGTTTACTAACGTTTATAAACGACCCCCCCACGTGTGAGGACACTCGGCACTAACCTTCGTCCTGGTCGTACATGATTTATCTTCAGAAAACGTTAGGGCTCCGAGAATCAGAAGAAAAACACACCGCTTTCACCGCCGCCAGGACGCCCCGGAAGTACATCTCACTTCCGGTTTCTTTGTGCTTCCTTTTATAGAATCACAACAAAAGACCGCCATCTTATGGATTCCGTCGGGAAGTGACAAAACATTGGTCCTACCCCCCCATGAAAATCCGAATATGTTTTCACATTTCTTCACATTTTAGATTCACATATGAAATTAAATTATTTTTAATAGTGGAACAAATGTTTCAAATATACATTTATGACTCCAGTTTTTCCATCTCTGGTCTCATTCCCTCCAATGGAGACAAATGTGTACTTTGTAAGACAGTGATGAGCAGCAGGCTTTAAAGAAACGACCCCTACCCACCTTTCTCTCAGAAATATGATTTAAAAAGAACAAGAGAGGTGCATGTTTATTTCCTGCTGGCTCAGGTGCTTCCTACCTGGGTCTGAGAGCTGAGCAGCACTTTGTTTGGGAGGCTCTGGAGAGAAAATCTGTCTGTGGGTTCACACTGTTCCATCCAGCACTTTTCAGCTCAGAAGTCAGATTTACTAGCTGACTCATCCCTCAGAGCGTCATTTTGAATGGATCCAAATGATGTGAGAGCCAAATGCATCCTTTCTGTTCAGCAGCACCACTCTGTTTTAAGTATTTTCATCAGTGGTCCATGTAAGAGTCAAACGCTTACATGGCGAGGTGATGAGGGCTGAATCAGACCGAGGGAAACACAGACTACGTCAGGAATCATGGAAGACCATCACACCAGTGCCACAGGAAGAAAGGCAAGAGATTTGAAACGAGAGGAGAGTTAGTTTCAAACTAAAACAGGAACTGAGGAGACCAAGAAATCCCAAAACTAAACCACGAACCTCCAGGCCTCCACATACGACGGCACACTGAGGGATTTATCCCTTTACCAACAGCCTGGCTGCCCAAAGAGCTGCCCAGCAGTCTGAAAACAGAGAGATTAAATCACCTAAAAAAGATGGAGCATAGTGCCGTAATAATAGAAAAAACTGTTAAAGTCACTGGACTAAACGGCAAATTATAAAAGTGCATTTTCAAACAAGAGGTGAGGCACCTGGTTTCATATTGAAAGGACATTCCTTCCACAGCTTTGGGGCCAAGATGGAAAACGCTCCCTCGTCTGATCTGTGGAAGAGCTTTTGCCCTGTTTCAGTTCTAGTGTCCCGGGTTAGGGTTAGGATGATAATGATAGGTTAGGATGATAATGATGGGTTAGGGTTAGGATGATGGGTTAGAATTATAACGATGGGCTTTTAGGGCTGAATGTATGTGTACATGATGGACATTTAAAGCAGAGAACATGGGGACCAGATTTTGAAAAGTAAACTGATCATTTGTGAAGTCTGCCCCGGCCCTTAACCCCCCCCCCCTCCGATCAGTCTGCTTATGAAATCTTTGTGGGTGGAGACGGAGTCCCTTTTCCCTTGTGGAGCGGAATCCTTTGGTTCTGATTTTGCAGCTGGACTTGTTTTTCTGCTCTGCATCAGTCTTAGTTTTCGGCTGCGTCAGCAACATTTGGGCCCAGACAGAATGTTGATCCAGAGATTAAGGCCGGAACAAAAGGGGGCAGCAGCCGCCACAACAACAGCAGCTCACATGTTCAGAGCTCAGCCCCTAAATACAACATCAGGCCGGGGCCAGAGCCACAGCTGCAGCCTCACAGCCCTCAGCCCCGGGTCGGATCTAGCCTGTTTCAGGATGCTGGCTGGGACTCTGCTGCTCATCTGTGTGATGGTTCTGTTCTCTGCAGGTGAGACGGGGCCAGGCCTCACACACCTGCTGGCTTTCTGGGGGAATAATCTGTTTTTTAAACAGTGACCTACTCCTAAATTGAGCCAAAAACTTTCTGAATAACGATGCAGATGAGATGGGCTAAAGTTTGGAAAATAAACCTGAGTTTCTTTTTCAGATGCAGAGGATAAGTCCAGGCTTTACAGAAGGGTAAGCACGCCATGTCTACATCCGTTTGTTTCTCTATCCGTGTCTTTACTGTCTTAAATCATTAACCTCACATCACTCACTCATTCACCAGCAGCACCTTCAGTGAACTGCATGTTCAGTAATGCTGATTTAAGGGCTGAACAGTGGGTCGGTCCACAGCTGGCTCCTGACAACATGGCGGCTCTGGTTCTGATACCGGTCCATTTTCAGTTCATAGAGTCTGTCTGTGCTCACTGAGAAGGATCGGGATCAGACCTCTGCTTCAGCCTGGGATCAGCTGGAGGCTCTCACAGAGTTTCTGGGTCGGATCAATAGTAAAAAGCACAGCAGAATTAATGATGGAGCAGCTTTTCTGCTCCTCTGACACAGGAAGCTGCTCATTTTGGAGATCTTACAACGGTGAAAGAAAGAAAGCAGTCCCAGAACCTTAGACCCAGAAACAGATTCTGCTCAGAATGATCTCACAGCTTCTTCCCAGTAACACAGAGGCCAGAGAAATCACCTCTAGAGGAACTCCCAATCCTTAAAGGGAAACTATGTGAGCCAACAGGTGAAAGCTCAGGGCTGTGGTAGAAGTAGGGCCTTCAGGGCCTGGGCCGTTGTCTTAATGTGATTAGTTTCCCTTGTATTTCCCCCTGCAGCCCTCCTGTGTGGGAGTCAGTGCCACTCAGATGTGTCCTCTGAATTACTCCCCAGTGTGTGGCAGCAATGGCATCACCTACCCCAACGAGTGTTCTCTGTGTGTCCACCGGCTGTAAGTACCCAGGATTCACCAGAGGGAACACAGTCACACATAGGGACCTCCTTCTGCAAGAATAAATACATCCTATCTATATACATTCACCCATTAATCCAAAACTTAAGGAGCTGAGGTCCGTAAAGAAGCAGAGGGATCGGCCTGTTAGCATTCCAGCTGAATAATGTCTCTTTTCATTCAGGGAGAAAAATGCTGACATTTTGATAGTTAAAGATGGGCCCTGCTGAGAACCTACCGAGTTCCTTCATGCTATGCGCCTCCTCTCCTGCCTGATGCCGTCATCACCTGTTTCGGAGTCTGTCATTGTGGCTGTCACATGCTCACAGAAGGCCGACATCTATGTGCTCATATTCTTGTTAAAACTTCTCTTACCCTTTTCACATTTTTCTTCAATAAAGATTCTATTTTCCTCTGGATGTGGAGTCGTTTGTTTAAATCCTAACTAAAACATGATAGGGTTTGATTTGAAATGTTGATTAGATACAGCGAGGAGAAAAGCTGGAAGGGTGAGGGTTGATTGTGAGGACTCCTAAGACCTCTGAGAGGCTCTGCTGTGGAAGGACCACCACAGTGGAATGACATGCTACATTTTTTTAAAGTTCATAAATAAGTAGAGTTCATAATATTTAAAAATGATTCAATTGTGTGCTGGCTAAAAGTTTAAATATGATATGTAAAGTTAGATAAATAAAACTATTCGTAGTTAAGAGATACATTTCTAAAGATTACCTTTGTTACGTTTATTAAGTCTGTTAAACTATCCGTATCTACGTGTGTAATCTAACCTGTTACCTGTCACGTGCCAATCACGTTATTCCTGTTTTATGATTGGTTGTTTCATCATTCCTGAGGCAGTCATGGCAAAGTCTCTGTGAAGGGGCGGGGTTAGTGGGCAGGTGGTGTGAGGAGCACTGAGCCCGCGCGACAGACGCCATTAGACGGAGAGGAGAGACGTCCGGAGAAGTGGTGTGGGGAGTAATTCAATTTAATCGTTGACTTCGACTGTTCGTGGTACTGAAAAACTTTTGGCTGACCTGAAGAGGTAAATATGATGTATATGCCTGTATTTTATTCTCGAGCCATCATAGTTTAACGAAACTGGATGTGTGAGACGGGTTAGCAACTTGCTAATTAGCGCTAGCATTCCGTGCTAATGGGCCTGTATATTATAGCTTTAGAATAGTGATATTTCTGAAGCTAAAGCAAGCTAATACTAATTTAAAATGAGATAGTGTTCGATAATTTGTCTCAATTTAGATTTTTTTAAGGATATGGGTACTAGAGAGAGACCAAAGTGGTTTGAGGGTCAGTCCTGTCCTGCGGAGCTGCGCTTCTTCATTGTGACTTTGCGCGCCATTTCCTGCGTTAGCTTTGAGTCTACGTTAGCTTAGATTCAAGGTCATAGCGTTAGCTTGGATTGAAAGTCATATTGTGTGATGGCCCAAAGGCAAAATGTTAAGTTGTTAATTCAATAGCACTGTTTTGAAGATCATTTCAAGAATCAGAGGAGACGGAGGGTTTTTGGAGGGAACAGCTCCAGGACACACAGAAGGGGCTCACCTGTTCATCCATTCTTCATCTCTGATCAGCTGGAACATGGAAACCTTGCGGTGCTAACAAGTGTTTCAGTCTGATCCCATGGTAATTATATTAAACTTTGTTAAGTACAGCATGCAGGTTCTAACGATGCAGATGCTGGTGCTAATTGATGATGCTACTGATGGTAATAATGCAGTGGTGGGCCGTCGGGGCCTTCAAGGCCTTCTCTGCAGGCCTAAGAAAATATCTGAATCACAGACTGATGTTAATCATATTTCGTCCATGGAGACTTATTAAATATCTCTAAATAGTCTGTCCGCTTCCTTTCATAGCTTTTCTCCTGGTTGCGCAGCTTCCAGACATGCATTTTCGTATAAAAGCATTTAACCAATCACATTTCAGACATCCTTTGTCGCTAGGCAGGGTCAGAGTCAAAGATGTCTACCTGGAGGCCTTCACAATCCGTTCTGCAGGCCCCCCCCCCACAGAAAATGCATGTTGAGTACATTGTTGCTTCAACCAATCAGATTTTAGGTTGGTGATGCCTGGGCCTGCTGGAAGGCCTTAGGCAACGTCACCGTATTCACACCCGCTGATTGGATAGTCAGATATCCAATCAGGGCAAAGCTAGCAAACAAACCAAAATATAATTGTGTTGGTGTATTAGCTATTTTATGATTTGGTGGCGGATTTACTGTCAGGACCATTTTCAAAATGGATTTTTCAAGAAAATTGAGTAAAATGTTTTTATTTTCCTAAATAATATCGCGAGTTTATGAGGATATTATTGATGTATTTTTACATCAATGTTCTTCTACTGCAGGAGTAGGAGACTTGTGCACCCCTGATCTTTAGACTATTTTAAACTTGTCCCGATCCGATATTTAGATCGTATCGGTCAGCATGAGAAACTGCCGATCCAGACTCCAGATCCATTTTTTTAAAAGTCCGATCCCACCCGAGCATTAGCATTAGCATCTGTAACCACAGGTTTGTGTAAACCTTAGTTGTTATAAGAATAAATCCCTGTTCAACATGAGTCTGACAACTAAGAAAGAAGATAAATACATTTCAACTTTAATGCAAAAAGCTGGATCGGGACATCCCTACTGTATTTCTACATAATAAGATGATTTCTATAACCATAAAATAGTTATTGAGGGGTGAATTGATTCAGACGGAACACTACTGAAGGCCTAGGTGTGAAATGCACGGTCCGCCACTGTAATAATGATGCTACTGATGCTAACGCTGATGTTGCTGTTTCAAGTAATGATAAAACTAATGCTAATTATTCTGGTGATGCTACTGCTGATGATGCTAATGATTCTTGCGGTTGTGATGATGATGGTCATTCTGATGAGGTTAGTAGAGGTGCTGATGATGTTAGTGGTGCCAATGATACAAAGCTCTGATATGGCTTGTCCTGGTTATTTCTGGAATAGACTCTTGTTAGCTTGTGTAACCCAGTTGACAAAAACATATTGAGAAGTAAAATAAATAGTTGGTTAAAAAACAAATATTTAAATAGAAGAATAATTAGTGATAATTCTGATTTTCAATTAATAAATTATAGGTTGATATTGTTAAAAAGAACATGAAGTATTTGGTACAGCAGTGCTTTTACTGCGACGATTTTGTACTTTTATTTTGAAATCGGTTATAACGGCTTCCTGTAGAACTGTTTGTCAGTTGAGCGGAGAAGAACAAGGAAGGAAGTCAGAATTAGAAGTTAGGAGTTAGAAATTGGAAAAAAAGTATTTTTAATTTGTTTATGTCACCTAAGTTCTTTTTTGGAGTGCGGAACGACCAGTTTTGTGAATGTTGAATGTTTTTTTAAGAATATTGTTTTATTGAAACGTCTCGGTAAGGTAACTCGTCTATTTTTTTAACTTATTGATGTAATCTAAGTGTTATATTATTTATCTCAGCTAAATACTTCGGTAAAAACTCAGAATTGTATTTTGTTTTGTCAAATAATTATTGTGTTAATGTCAAATGGGTATATTTTGTTTTAAATGAGTTAGCTAAAAGCAAGGAACGAACCAACTGACAGCGCTCGTGCACCAGCGCTCGTGCGCCAGCGCGCACAAGCTGAGAGGGCTGAACGGTTGAGTATGAAAATCACTGTACTCGTTGCCGTGATTTCAGTCCGGAATGTTATTCAATAATATTCATCCTGTTTAAATACGTTATTTGTCTGAATGGTATGCAATGCTTTTCAGTATGAATGAAGTGTATGCAGTTCACATAACTTTTCTTTTGAGAACATTGATATGTTGTACAACTTTTAGTTTCTGTCTTATTGAATCTGGTCTAACATTGACGTGTACATACCCAGTAGTGGGTTACACTTGGATTTAGGGTCGTTAATACAGTTGGGACTGCTCCAGGACACGCAGACGGGCCCCAGCTCTTCATCAGACCTGATTATCTCTGATTGGCTGGATCATGGTAACCTTGCGGTGTTAACAAGTGGTTCAGTCTGATCAGGTGGTAAGTACAGACTCCTTTTTCCAAGTACAACATGCTGGTGCTGATAAATGATGCTAGTGATGATGCTATTAATGCTCATGATACTACTGTTGGATACATGGACAGAAAGCTGAGGGCATCTGCTATGGGAAGTCATTAAGTTTTAGACTCCTGATGCTTAAAAACTATTGGTTGACCTAAAAAGGTGAATATGATGCATATGCCTGTATTTTGTACTGTGACTTTAGCATTTTAACAAAACTGGATGTGTGAGATGATTAGCGACTTGCTAATTGGTGCTACCATTCAGTGCTATTAGGCCTGTATATTGCAGTTGTTGCATTGTGATGTTTTTTAAGCTAAAGCGAGCTAATGCTACTTCAACATGCAATAGTGTTCTATATTGAGTCTCAGTTTGATTAATATGCTTCAGGAAGACGGTCACTGGAGAGAGAGATCCGGTTTTGGTCTGTCTGTGTTCAGGCGTGTCCTGTCCTGCTGAGCTCACTTCCTCATTGTGACTTTGCTCCATGTTGGCTTGCATTCAAGCTCATTGCCATTAACGTTGTTGGACTCTGCTTCTCCTAACCAAACCCGTGGGTTTGTGAGTACAAACACACACTCCACATGCTTTTAGTTGGTGCTCATCTCTTAGTGAAGCAGCCGTTACAGTTTTAGGTCTCACTGCACACAAGCTTCAAGAAACAGGCCAGAGAGGTTCAATATTATTATTGTGTCAATGAGTGTGTGTGTGAGCCCACAGATAACATGAGTTTTGAGTTGTTCATCCAAGAATACTGTTTTGAAAATGTATGAAACAAAAATGTTTATTAAAATTTAATCAATTATATGTGTAACCCACCAGTTAGGGTTCAAGTACTATTTTTTTTGTTTTCTACATACTTTTATTGAGACTGGGTTTTATTTTGAAAACCGGAAGTTTTATTTTGGTAATACAGGAAGTGCGATGCTTAGAAAAGCGCATCTAGCTTAACCTCGTTAATTGACTCAGGAGCCCTGCTCTTTCACTCACGTGTGATGATAAAATAGAGGAAAAGGTATGAAAACCATATTTTTTGGTGCTTAAACTTTTGGTTGTGTCAGTTAATGGTGTTAACTTAGTAAAAATCCTGTCTAGAGCGTGGATGAGCACAGAGGGAGCAAAGTTAGTGGGTAAACACAACACCATCCCTTGGTAAGCTAGCTCTCACTT